TTTATTGTATTTCTGATTTTATTTTTGAAGGGAAAATGTGGTATATGACGTAAGCATGATGCCATGCTGTCGTCACGCTGCAGAGCAGAGCAGAGCAGAGCACGGCATTCGGCGCGGCACAGCTGCGCGCACGCACGCACGCGCGGAGGCGGCCTCTAAACGGCCGACGGGTAGCTGTCGGCTTCTGAGTAGCCGATAGGACTAGTCGGCCCGTGGAAGGCCGACAGGGCGCCACACACCGCTGCGGGCAGAGCGGACAGGGGCGACCGGCCTGGTGCCGTGCTTAGCTGTGTTTTAGTAGCCTCAGAAGCTGCAAGGCAGGGGTTTTTTTTTTGTATGGCTCTGTACCTTCTTGTTTGCTGGTATCCCCAGCCTCGTTGTGTGCCTTTTACATTGCTTTATAAAAGCAGTGTTTTTCTCCGTAAAAAAAATGTACAGATACTAATACTACTATTTTCTATAGACATAATCAAATTTAGAATTGTCAGACTAATTGAGGAGCTTGACTTATATTTTTTTTGGACGGCAGGAGCATCATTTGACTAGATTCCTAGAGAAGCTAGCTTGTCCAAAATCTCCAATAGAACCAGAGGGCAGCTCTCGACGAGATGACAGAACCCACTGGTCTGCACGACAGCACCAAGCATGCCCCGCGAAGCTATGAATCCAAGACAAGCATTCTTGAGCTGCATGCAGCGGCGCTGCTCGGCTAAAGCCAAAGTAGTCGCCACCGTGTCCGGCGTCGATGCTACGGCACATCCCCACTCGCGCACATGAGCCTCAGCGTGTCCAGCCCACACCGATCCATGCCACCAGCAGGTGCTGCATCGGCACATTCCTGTCCTTGTCGTCGTCCGTGGCAACGCCACCGTCACCGTCGGCCGAAAGTGTCCGTGTACACGAAGTGAAGCGGCGCCTCGAAGATGGAAAGCTCCATGTCGTCGACCTTGACGCGCGTTGCGGCCTTCTCCTTCATGGGGCGAAGAGCCCCGCCACGACACCGCGGACCTCGCGGCGAGCACGCACCGGTGTGCGGGAGCGACCGCCCGCCACGATTTAACGTCACGCCCACGCCGTCCCCCCCCCGAGCATGCTCGCCAGGTCCTGCAGCACGCTGGGCTCCGAGACGGCGATGGCGCTCACGTCCTCGACATGGGGGTCTTGGATGACGGTCAGGGACGCTTTTGACCGTGAAGCGGTCGTTGTTGTTGCGCACCATCCTTCGGAAGAGGCAGGATTTATATATGAATGTGGGCCAGCCCTGCCTCCCTAATGCAAAGGCCTTTGATAAGATAATTTTATTGCAATGTATTTGTGTATCTTATTATATACCATGCCATGCTAAAAAAATATTGTTAAATTTATTTATGTAATTATGAACACTTTAAACCGCGTCGCATAATATTACTCCGGATCTAAGATAGACAACTATGCTCTGCACTTTAATCTTTTTTTTTTCGCTAGGGGCACTTAACACTGTTAAGTGGCAGAAATAAACGGAACGCCATACAGCCAGATTCGTTTCGGGCCTTATAGGGGGTGCTTGGGACTATTTCGCTCCAGCTCCGTGTTGCCAAACACCCCCACTCGAGAACTCCGCTCGAGAAAAAGGTGGAGCTAGAGGCTAACTCCACGTTTTTTTTTACGTGGTACGTCAAGAGGTACTCCGATTATTGGAGCTTTGTACTCTCACGAAGTTATAGGATAATTACCCACCTTGCCACTCGTTAATCACCGATTAGTTTCCCGATTCGTCCCCTACCCGTGCAGCGTGAAGGCGCATGAGCCATGACTCTTCCGAGATACGCAAATAGGAGGCTACTGCCGTTTTCATCCACATACAAAGCGATTGGTACTTGGAAACCGATCAAAAGTCCTAAAAAATAAAAAATATATGGAAAAATATTAACAATCCTTGGAAAAAGTAATAATCATTAATAAATCAGCAAACGAATCCCCGAATCTTTAAACTTTAAAAATTAATTAAACTATTGTAAGACCATTTAAAAGTTAAAACCAGAACTACTAAGTGCAATTTCAATCAGGGGCATAATGGGCCATTTGCATGCAAATAACCTATTTCGGGAGCTAGAGCTAGGCTGTGTACCACCTGCTCCACAAACTCCAGGTTTGAGTTGCTCCATGATGGAGTAGCCGCCCGTGGAAGGCCGACGGCGCGCACCAGACCACGACGACGGTACACCGCCCAGCACCGAAAGGCGGTGTACACCGGAAGGTGCGGTGTCCGCTCCGTGTCTCTGACGAGAGGAGAGAGGATAGCGGCACGGTGCCGTGCTTGGCTTGATCGCTGCTTCGGCACGGGGGCAAGCGCTGCTCAGATAAAGCACGCTTCGGTGCTGGGCACTGAAAGTGGTAGCGCCGCTTCTTCCCCCATCGATCAAGCCCGTCTTTGCGAAACGAAAAGACCGATGCCCCAGCGAACGCACAAACACAGAGAGAAGGGCGACACAGCGGCACTTGGAAGCTCCTCTCCGGCAAGGAGTCCGCGTGACACGAAGTCGCGAAGCCTCTCGATCACGCGACGGCTCCATGTCCTCGACCGGGACGCACCCGTGGCGCTCTCCTCCATGGCGCCAAGAGCTGCGCCCTAAACACCACGGACGCGGCGAAAGCTGCGTACTGTGGGCGAGGAAGAACCGGTCGCCGATCTTTGATCGTCACGTCGGCGGCCTCCGGCATGCTGTGCTGAAGTCCGGTGCAGGTCCGACGGCGGGCGCTTCGCCACTTGTCGCCGCGTCTTCCGTGCGATGCTTCACGAGCGGTGACGGCGCACCGATTGTGAAGCCGTCGCGGCAGCTCTTTTTAGCTTGGATTTTCGATGAAATTACGCGCTGCCCCTGTTGTTATGGTGCCCCGTGTCCGTGTCATAGGTTCTTGTGTCCGTGAAGACGGTTCTTGCGATTGGCTTTGCTTGTTTATTTCCTTGTCCTGCTGATCTGTTCTTCCTTTTCCCTTCCTTCCCGACGACGGCGCTTTGGTGTCTTTATCGACCAGCGGGCTTATCTTGAACTTAACCCTCACACCCGTTGGTCCGTCAAGAAGACTCAAACGCACCGTCGTGTAAGCAGCAACCGTCGTCCTTTGGACAACCGTCGCCGCCGGGGAAGAACTTGATGCTCCATCCGTAGCCGCCGACGAAGAAGGTGCCCGAGCTGGACGTAGTCGCCGCGGCGTCCATGTCATCGGCGTGGCGAGAAGTCGGTCACCACGGAAGTTGTGCGTCCCGTGATGGGCTGCGTCCGGGATGTCGACCACGTTTTCGGTAACACCTGGTGGTTGTCGACCGATGTCGAATTACTAGGCCTGTAATTAGCCATGGCCGCGCACGATTTTTTCCAGCTAAACCTTCAACACACACGCCGTTCATGGTGGTGGTGGTCGATGTCCTCTTATATACCGCAAATTCGGAAAATACTATTCTACGAACTAGGACTCCGAGACCTCTTTGGAATACTGGGGTAAAGAATCGAGTCGTTACGGACATGCATGCTAAGCTGTTGACCAACCGAGAAAATATGGAGAATTGTAACAGGACATGTTAATTTTGGGTTCGATGATGATAACCGTCCATGGTGGAACATGCACCGCCCGTCTTTGGAGATTACCAAACGATAATGCTTGGCCGCAGGCGTCCGCCCATCCGGACGCCGTGCGCCTCAGTCCGCCTCGCTGCTTTCTCCCACGGGCCTAGGGGCGGACACTCCGTGCACAAACCTTACCGATTACCAAAACCAAAATTTAAAATTACAGCAACTGCTTGCTTGAGCAGATATTACATCAACTAGATATATGCTCGCATGCGTTGCACCGGGACCACATTTTGTTTGGATTGAACCTCAATAATCGGACACGGATGCGTGAGTTCTAAGAACTTCGTGATCGACGTGGACACGTTGATCCGATCTTCGTAGTAGAACCGGGTAGGGGACGCGAACATGCGAGCTTCGAGTGCAGGTTGATTCATATTGGATGCGGACGCGTAAGCAGGACTCAAAACTTGGTATGACTGGGTATACGATGGACGTTACAGTATGCTTAGGTGTAGGGATTCATTGAGCTTTTATTAAGTTGGTATATTTTAAATCTCTTAGTTTTAAATGGCGAGATCAGAAAATCTAATCGTCTTTCGAGGTGCTCAAAAGGGTAGGACATGTGTGCGTGTGTTCGTAGAGATGGGTGTACGGACATGTACGAGCATCTTGATCGATCATTTTTGGGCAAGCGATTCGTTATTTCATCGTTGCACGGTTGTATGAGCAACACAATATGGCAGAGTTTATTTGCATGGAATATAAAATACAATAAAAATAGAATATTTTACTTGCATGGAATATACAATACAGCTAAAATTATACACAAAGTAACAAAGATATAGGCCTTGAGCTGGCTATCCTACTCACGTGCACCATCCAAGTTCAATGGCTCAGATTTCCTCTATTTTTATTGTATTTCTGATTTTATTTTGAAGGAAAATGTGGTATATGACGTAAGCATGATGCCATGCTGTAAATCACGCTGCTGAGCAGAGCAGAGCAGAGCACGGCATTCGGCGCGGCACAGCTGCGCGCACGCACTGCGCGCGGAGGCGGCCTCTAAACGGCCGACGGGTAGCTGTCGGCTTCTGAGTAGCCGATAGGACTAGTCGGCCCGTGGAAGGCCGACAGGGCGCCACACACCGCTGCGGGCAGAGCGGACAGGGGCGACCGGCCTGGTGCCGTGCTTAGCTGTGTTTTAGTAGCCTCAGAAGCTGCAAGGCAGGGGTTTTTTTTGTATGGCTCTGTACCTTCTTGTTTGCTGGTATCCCCAGCAGCCTCGTTGTGTGCCTTTTACATTGCTTTATAAAAGCAGTGTTTTTCTCCGTAAAAAAAATGTACAGATACTAATACTACTATTTTCTATAGACATAATCAAATTTAGAATTGTCAGACTAATTGAGGAGCTTGACTTATATTTTTTTGGACGGCAGGAGCATCATTTGACTAGATTCCTAGAGAAGCTAGCTTGTCCAAAATCTCCAATAGAACCAGAGGGCAGCTCTCGACGAGATGACAGAACCCACTGGTCTGCACGACAGCACCAAGCATGCCCCATGAAGCTATGAATCCAAGACAAGCATTCTTGAGCTGCATGCAGCGGCGCTGCTCGGCTAAAGCCAAAGTAGTCGCCACCGTGTCCGCGTCGATGCTACGGCACATCCCCACCTCGCACATGAGCCTCAGCGTGTCCAGCCCACACCGATCCGCGGCCACCAGCAGGTGCTGCATCGGCACATTCCTGTCCTTGTGTGCGTCGTCCGTGGCAACGCCACCGTCACCGTCGGCCGAAAGTGTCCGTGTACACGAAGTGAAGCGGCGCCTCGAAGATGGAAGGCTCCATGTCGTCGACCTTGACGCGCGTTGCGGCCTTCTCCTTCATGGGGCGAAGAGCCCGCCCTCGACACCCGCGGACCTCGCGGCGAGCACGCACCCGGTGTGCGGGAGCGACCGCCCGCCACGACGAACGTCACGTCCACGCCGTCCCCGCCCACGAGCATGCTCGCCAGGTCTGCAGACGCTGGGCTCCGAGGCGGCGATGGCGCCACGTCCTCGACATGGGGGTCTTGGATGACGGTCGGGGCGCACACTGACCGTGAAGCGGTCGTTGTTGTTGCGCACCATCCTTCGGAAGAGGCGGGATTTATATATGAATGTGGGCCAGCCCCCGCCTCCTAATGCAAAGGCCTTTGATAAGATAATTTTATTGCAATGTATTTGTGTATCTTATTATATACCATGCCATGCTAAAAAATATTGTTAAATTTATTTATGTAATTATGAACACTTTAAACCGTGCGCAATATTACTCCAGATCTAAGATAGACAACTATGCTCGCACTTTAATCTTTTTTTCGCTAGGGGCACTTAACACTGTTAAGTGGCAGAAATAGACGAACGCCATACAGCCAGATTCGTTTTCGGGCCTTATAGGGGTGCTTGGGACTATTTCGCTCCAGCTCCGTGTTGCCAAACACCCCGACTCGAGAACTCCGCTCGAGAAAAAGGTGGAGCTAGAGGCTAACTCCACGTTTTTTTTACGTGGTACGTCAAGAGGTACTCCAGTTATTGGAGCTTTGTACTCTCACGAAGTTATAGGATAATTACCCACCTTGCCACTCGTTAATCACCGATTAGTTTCCTGATGCGTCCCCTACCCGTGCAGCGTGAAGCGCATGAGCCATGACTCTTCCGTGAGATACGCAAATAGGAGGCTATTGCTCCCGTTTTCATCCACATTACAAAGCGATTGGTACTTGGAAACCGATCAAAAAGTCCTAAAAAATAAAAAATATATGGAAAAATATTAACAATCCTTGGAAAAAGTAATAATCATTAATAAATCAGCAAACGAATCCCGAATCTTTAAACTTTAAAATTAATTAAACTATTGTAAGACCATTTAAAAGTTAAAACCAGAACTACTAAGTGCAATTTCAATCGGGGCATAATGGGCCATTTGCATGCAAATAACCTATTTCGGGAGCTAGAGCTAGGTTGTGTACCACCTGCGCCCACAAACTCGAGTTTGAGTTGCTCCATGATGGAGTAGCCGCCCGTGGAAGGCCGACGGCGCACCAGAACCACAGCGGACGGTACACGCGCCCAAGACCGAGGCGGTGTACACCGGAAGGTGCGGTGTCCGCTCCGTGTCTCACGAAGAGAGAGGACAGGGCGAAGCGGCCTGGTGCCGTGCTTGATCGCTGCTACGGCACGGGGCAAGCGCTGCTTTCGAGATAAGCACGCTTCGGTGCTGGGCACTGAAAGTGGTAGCGCCGCTTCTTCCCCCATCGATCAAGCCCGTCTTTGCACGAACAGAAAGACCGATGCCTGAGCGAGCGCGCACAAACACAGAGAGAGAGGCGGCTACACAACGGCACTTGGAAGCTCCTCTCCGGCAAGGAGTCCGCGTACACAGTCGCGAAGCCTCTCGATCACGCGACGGCTCCATGTCCTCGACCGGACGCACCCCGTGGCGCTCTCCTCCATGGCGCCAAGAGCTGCGCCCTAAACACCACGGGACGGCGGCGAGCGCGTACTGTGGGCGAGGAAGAACCGGTCGCCGATCGTTGATAAATCACGTCGGCGGCCTCCGGCATCTGTGAAGTCCGGTGCAGGTCCGACGGGCGGAGCGCTCGCCGCGATCGCCGCGTCTTCCGTGCGATGCTTCACGACGGTGACGGGCGCACCGGTTAATGAAGCCGTGCGGCAGCTCTTTTAGCTTGGATTTCTCGATGAAATTACGCTTTGCCCCTGTTGTTATGGTGCCCTGTGTCCGTGTCATAGGTTCTTGTGTCCGTGAAGACGGTTCTTGCGATTAGCCTTTGCTTGTTTATTTCCTTGTCCTGCTGATCTGTTCTTCCTTTTCCCTTCCTTCCCGACGACGGCGCTTTGATCGTCTTTATCGACAAAGCGGGCTTATCTTGAACTTAACCCTCACACCCGTTGGTCCGTCAAGAAGACTCAAACGCACCGTCGTGTAAGCAGCAGCAGCTTCGTCGTCCTTTGGACAACCGTCGCCGCCGCCGGGAAGAACTTGATGCTCCATCCGTAGCCGCCGACGAAGAAGGTGCCCGAGTGGCGTAGTCGCCGGCGTCCATGTCATCGGCGTGGCGAGAAGTCGGTCACCACGAAGTTGTGCGTCCCCGTGATGGCTGCGTCCGGGATGTCGACCACGTTTTCGGTAACACTGGTGGTTGTCGACCGATGTCGAATTACTAGGCTGTAATTAGCCATGGCGCGCATTTTTTTTTTCGGCTAAACCTTCAACACACACGCCGTTCATGGTGGTGGTGGTCGATGTCCTCTTATATACCGCAAATTCGGAAAATACTATTCTACCGAACTAGGACTCGAGACCCTCTTGGAATACTGGGTAAAGAATCGAGTCGTTACGGACATGCATGCTAAGTTGTTGACCAACGAGAAAATATGGAGAATTGTAACAGGACATGTTAATTTTGGGTTCGATGATGATAACCGTCCATGGTGGAACATGCACCGCCGTCTTTGGAGATTACCAAACGATAATGCTTTATTACAGGCGTCCGCCCCATCCGGACGCCGTGCGCCTCGATCCGCCCTCATTGCTTTCTCCCACGGGCCTAGGGCGGACACTCCGTGCACAAACCTTACCGATTACCAAAACCAAAAATTTAAAATTACAGCAATCGCTTGCTTGAGCAGATATTACATCAACTAGATATATGCACATGCGTTGCACGGGACCACATTTTGTTTGGATTGAACCTCAAGTAATCGGACACGGATGCGTGAGTTCTAAGAACTTCGTGTCGGGCGTGGACACGTTGATCCGATCTTCGTAGTAGAACCGGGTAGGACGCGAACATGCGAGCTTGAGTGCAGGTTGATTCATATTGGATGCGGACGACGTAAGCAGGACTCAAAACTTGGTATGACTGGGTATACGATGACGTTACAGTATGCTTAGGTGTAGGGATTCATTGAGCTTTTATTAAGTTGGTATATTTTAAATCTCTTAGTTTTAAATGGCGAGATCAGAAAATCTAATCGTCTTTCGAGGTGCTCAAAAGGGTAGGACATGTGTGCGTGTGTTCGTAGAGATGGGTGTACGGACATGTACGAGCATCTTGATACGATCATTTTTTGGGCAAGCGATTCGTTATTTCATCGTTGCACGGTTGTATGAGCAACACAATATGGCAGAGTTTATTTGCATGGAATATAAAATACAATAAAAATAGAATATTTTACTTGCATGGAATATACAATACAGCTAAAATTATACACAAAGTAACAAAGATATAGGCCTTGAGCTGGCTATCCTACTCACGTGCACCATCCAAGTTCAATGGCTCAGATTTCCTCTATTTTTATTGTATTTCTGATTTTATTTTTGAAGGGAAAATGTGGTATATGACGTAAGCATGATGCCATGCTGTCGTCACGCTGCAGAGCAGAGCAGAGCACGGCATTCGGCGCGGCACAGCTGCGCGCACGCACGCACGCGCGGAGGCGGCCTCTAAACGGCCGACGGGTAGCTGTCGGCTTCTGAGTAGCCGATAGGACTAGTCGGCCCGTGGAAGGCCGACAGGGCGCCACACACCGCTGCGGGCAGAGCGGACAGGGGCGACCGGCCTGGTGCCGTGCTTAGCTGTGTTTTAGTAGCCTCAGAAGCTGCAAGGCAGGGTTTTTTTTTTTGTATGGCTCTGTACCTTCTTGTTTGCTGGTATCCCCAGCCTCGTTGTGTGCCTTTTACATTGCTTTATAAAAGCAGTGTTTTTCTCCGTAAAAAAAATGTACAGATACTAATACTACTATTTTCTATAGACATAATCAAATTTAGAATTGTCAGACTAATTGAGGAGCTTGACTTATATTTTTTTTGGACGGCAGGAGCATCATTTGACTAGATTCCTAGAGAAGCTAGCTTGTCCAAAATCTCCAATAGAACCAGAGGGCAGCTCTCGACGAGATGACAGAACCCACTGGTCTGCACGACAGCACCAAGCATGCCCCGCGAAGCTATGAATCCAAGACAAGCATTCTTGAGCTGCATGCAGCGGCGCTGCTCGGCTAAAGCCAAAGTAGTCGCCACCGTGTCCGCGTCGATGCTACGGCACATCCCCACCTCGCACATGAGCCTCAGCGTGTCCAGCCCACACCGATCCGCGGCCACCAGCAGGTGCTGCATCGGCACATTCCTGTCCTTGTCGTCGTCCGTGGCAACGCCACCGTCACCGTCCGGCCGAGTGTCCGTGTACACGAAGTGAAGCGGCGCCTCGAAGATGGAAGGCTCCATGTCGTCGACCTTGACGCGCGTTGCGGCCTTCTCCTTCATGGGGCCGAAGAGCCCCGCCCTGGACACCGCGGACCTCGCGGCGAGCACGCACCGGTGTGCCGGGAGCGACCGCCCGCCTACGACGAACGTCACGTCCACGCCGTCCCCGCCCCTGAGCATGCTCGCCAGGTCCTGCAGCACGCTGGGCTCCGAGACGGCGATGGCGCTCACGTCCTCGACATGGGGGGTCTTGGATGACGGTCAGGACGCACCTGACCGTGAAGCGGTCGTTGTTGTTGCGCACCATCCTTCGGAAGAGGCAGGATTTATATATGAATGTGGGCCAGCCCCTGCCTCCTAATGCAAAGGCCTTTGATAAGATAATTTTATTGCAATGTATTTGTGTATCTTATTATATACCATGCCATGCTAAAAAAATATTGTTAAATTTATTTATGTAATTATGAAC